TTTCTCTTGTTTCTCTATCGCTGTGAACAACAAAACAATCACTCAGGCAAAGTGACAGAGCAGCATGTGGTGTGGAGCAGAGACAGTCTGAAAAAGAAGCCTTAGATTTAAACATGAGTCAGAAAGTGCTTCACCTCTACTTTCTAAGTAAACTCTCATGTTGAGTCAGAAGTTCAAGGCATGATCCAAAATAGCCTCCTTCATAAAGCCTATAATTTCAACTGTAAGATCATTTTGAAGGTTGCAGTTTCCTACAGAATTCAACTAGGGTCATTAGCTGTATACCAGCACTACCCTGGCACAACAAAACTAATGGTCTCAAATATCATACTAAGGGCAGAAATTCCACCAATTAACTTTGTACTAATACACTGAATCTTAGTAGATAATCTCTAACAAAGTTTAAAATTGAAAGTGCACACATGTGGATTTATGTGCTTGTTCTTATATTTTAATTTTCCAAGTAAGACGTAATGAGCAAATCAAACACAGAACATTTTGGCATTTCTGAGGCCAATCTGCCTAGACTTTACTTTTTCAAAAGGACGGATGAATCTTGGAGAATATCTGTGCTCACCTGAAGGTCTCCATACATAACACAATAATGTTGTGTGTACATCTGTGTGGGTCATACCTCAGAGACACTAGTGCTGGCATTGGGGTTGCGTGGGGCATGGTGGCTGAGAGCTGACAGACAAGCCAAGATGAGGTGGACAGCGCCAATCTCCAGAGCCATGCGGCGCAGAAGCACACCATCATCAGTGGTCAGTGGAGTGCTGCTAAACAACGCGCGCAGGACATGGAAAGGTAGTGTGGGCAACACGTTGGCTGACGGAGACTGTAAGATGTGACCTAGAAGGAAGCCAAATAAGACAATTAAAGCAACAAACATGCAGTACATTATAACAACAACCTTCAAAATCTAAAAACTTTGTGTTAAGGTTTGGGTTTAACAGGTGTTTGTTTGCCAAAATATCATTTATCTAGTAAAATGCTTAAAACTGGAAACACTAAGGTAAACGCATAATTTGGTTTGGACAAAATCATATTATGGTAATAAAAGTTTTTTCAGCATTCAGAAGCAAGATTCATTTAAAACTTACAAGTGTATTATTATTATTATTCTATTACAGATGTAATAGAACCTGTCTAATTGTCAGCCCATAAACGTGTCAACCACTATATAGCATATGTATATACAGTAGCATTGTATATTATCTTATGATTTGGATTTTAATTGGTTTTCTATTTGTAGTGACCCATGCTTTGGCATGAGTTACCATCATTGTGAGGACAAATTGAGGGCTTTTTGAGGGTTAAGACTTGGTTTAAGGGTTATGATTTAGGCTAGTTTTAATGGGCTAGGGACTCTATTATATCAGTGAATGTACTCGCAACTAAAGACAGAGAAGCATATGTAGGAATTTCAAAAAAATGGAGCTCTTAACACTTCTACAGTGACCTGTGTGAATTTATGGGTGCTGGCAGCTGTGAAGTGCTTTCAGACTTACTGCCCTCTCCATCGTCCGTGACACCGAGCACCAGGCGCAGCAAACACTGTGCATGCTTCCTCTCCTTCAGCAGCACTTCTGCATAGCCTGGCAGACGCAGGAACAGGCCAAAAGCTGCCAGTGAGTGGGCAGGGATGGGTGACATGGGCTGCACTGAGGACGAGGATGATGAGGACGACTGGGACTGCTGCTTGTTGATGGGCGGCGGCTCGGCGGCGATGGACTCCGGTGCCTCATACACCAGCTCACCGGACTGCTCGATGGTTACCCACTCAAACTGGTCACTGTCCTTGGGCTTCTCCAGTGCAGCTGAGGGCACCACCGGGGCACTGACCTGTGAATGAACACAGAGTGAATCTTAAGCAAAGGAAAAATGGGTGAATATCACACAACACTGACAAATCAATTTATCTGCTGTGTCACAAAGCCTGAAGGAGAGAAGACACTACTGGTGTAAATGTAAAATGCTAAATTCACTTCACTGGCTAACAAAGACAGACAATGACCAACATCTAATTTTGCAGACAATAAAAGGACAAATTCATCCTTATTTAATCAAGGACGCCCAATTTTTCAGTTTTTTATTTGTTAAAAAAGTTTGAAATATCCAATAAATTTCGTTCCACTTCATGATTGTGTCCCACTTGTTGTTGATTCTTCACAAAAAATTACAGTTTTATATCTTTATGTTTGAAGCCTGAAATGTGGCAAAAAGGTCGCAAAGTTCAAGGGGGCCGAATACTTTCGCAAGGCACTGTAGCTACTGGGCTGATACTACTTCCGGCGCTGACAGCGATGGCGACCGTGGTACCTCGAGCTCTCTTGTGTTTGTTGTTTTTCTTTGTTTTCTTGGTCTTTTGCAACTCATCCCGGATTACTTTTACCAGAGAAGAACTGGAGGACAAATCACACCAAACTACCTTCCTCCGATTTTTGTGAATGAACAATGTTGTATGGACATTCTGATCGGAGGAGCAGCAGCGATATATGGGACCTGGAAAAAATGCCGCCGGCTTGGAAAACGCTCTGGCGCGGTTACGACAGAGGGGAACACGGACCTCACTCCCATCTATTCACCTGGCTAATCTCCACTCCCTGGTCAACAAAATGGATGAAATTCTTCTCGTCAACAGGACTAACTCTGACTTTGCACACTCTGCTGCTTTGTGCTTCACGGAGACCTGGCTTATCGACTCGATCGCGGACACCGTGATTCAAGTACCGGGGTTCCAGGTGCACAGAGCGGATCGTGTAAAGGAGCTGTACGGGAAAACGAAAGGAGATGGAATCTGCTTCTACATAAATGAAGGTTGGTGCACAGATGTCAGTGCTACAGAGGACATGTACCACAGACCTAGAGACTCTTGTTATCAACTGCAAACCCTTTTACTCTCCCCGTGAATTCAACAGTTTCATGCTAATGGGAGTGTACATAACACCGCAGGCTAACGCTAGTGCACTACGGCTCCTAGCAGAACTGATAACTAGCCTGGAGCTAGAACATCCCGACTCTCCACTCATTGTTCTAGGGGACTTTAACAGAGCAAATCTCACCCACGAACTGCCAAAATACAGACAGCACGTCACCTGTCCCACCAGGGACAAAGTCACACTGGACCACTGCTACACAACAATAAAAGACGCCTATCGCTCTGTCCCCCACAGCCCTCGGACTCTCTGATCACTGTATGGCTCATCTTATTCCAACCTACAGGCAGAAACTTAAAGCTGTGAAGCCTGTGGTCAAAACAGTGAAGAGTTGGACTGAGGAGGCTAAGTCAGAGCTACAGGCCTGCTTTGACTGCACAGACTGGAGTGTATTTGAGACTGCAGCTACAGACGAACTCACTAACACCGACATCTTATATCAGTTTCTGTGAGAGTGTGTGTGTGCTAGTGTTGCTTTCGTCAACGAAAATTATGGCTAAATGACGTCGTCAACGAACCTTTATCGCGTGACGAAAACGAGACGCAACGAAAATGCTGGTCATGTGACGATATAATGCAATATTGTTGACGATAAAAAACGAGACGAAATGTTATAACGTTATTTCGTCTCGTTAAGTCGTGTTATTATTATTATTTTGCAGTATTTGTTTCCTGTGTCTCGCTTCAGGGGCCGCATCAGACGCGTTCGCACTGCGCAAACGCAGGCGACACTACTCGCGGCATTATTGAGAAGACGACAACAAACAAAGTTAAGTCTGACACAGAGAAAGGGATCGATGGCCGGCCAGCCGGGGTTGGTCATTGGGAGAAAAAGAAGAAACGAGATTTGGAAAAACTTTCATTACATACAAGTGGAAAAGAAAACGGAATTTGTTGTGGAAAAAGATGGGGAGAAATGTGGCCACAAAATGTTTATTGGATGTACTCTTGAGTCTGTAAGGTAACAATAATATAATAAGATAACCTTGTTTGAAATGGGTTTGACTAAGAAACTTTGTTTCATCTATACTACTAGGTACTTATACTATATTGACTGGGTTAAATGGAATTGCATTACTAAAAAGAGACTAATACAATTTTCATTGACTAAAACTAGACTAGACTAAAAAGAGTATGAATTGACTAAAACTAATAAAAACTAAAATGACAGCTTCACACAAAGACTAGACTAAAACTAAAATGAAAACAGGCCGCCAAAAACAACTATAGTGTGTGCCCAAAAAGACCTGCACATACAACAACAAGCCCTGGTTTACAGCAAGACTCAAGCAGCTTCGTCATGCCAAAGAGGAGGCCTACAGATGTGGGGACAGGACTCTGTACAGCCAGGCAAGGAACACACTGACAAGGGAGATCAGAGCGGCAAAGAGGAGCTACTCTGAAAAGCTGAAAGCTCAGGTTTCAGCCAACAACCCCTCGTCTGTGTGAGGGAGCCCGAAAACCATCACTGGCTATAGAAAACCATCCCCCTTGCTGTGGAGGACCGTCAACTAGCAGTTGACCTGAATGTGTTCTACTGCAGGTTTGACAATCAACACTCCCACCTCACCCTCCCCACCTCAGATCCAGCAGCTCCTCCCCCGACAATCACCACCCTCACCCCCAGGCCCCCACCTCTAACAATCTGTGAAAAGGATGTAAATGGTCTTATACTTGTATAGTGCTTTTCTACGCTTTTACAGCACACTCAAATCGCTTTTACACTACTCTGCCATTCACCCATTTGCACTCCCAAACACTCACACATTCACACACCAGTGACATCATGGGGAGCAACTGGGGGTTCAGTGTCTTGCTCAAGGACACTTCGACATGTTGACTGGACAAGCCGGGAAGCGAACCGCTAATCCTCCGGTTAGGAAATGACCTGCTCTACCTCCTGAGCCACAGGCCCCTGCGTGGCCTCTTTAAAAGGCAAAAGATCAGAAAGGTACCAGGCCCAGATGGCGTGAAACCCCTCCTGCTTGACAGTGTGCGCTGATCAGCTGGCCCCCATCTTCACACTTATCTTCAACAGGTCACTAGAGCTGTGTGAAGTCCCCTCCTGCTTCAAACGCTCCACCATCATTCCAGTCCCCAAGAAAACCTCCATCAGTGGACTGAATAACTACTGCCCTGTTACCCTGACATCTGTAATTA